TTTAATTATAAAAACGTTTGATGACCCGACCCAAAATTTTCGAGTCAATCTGACAGTATAATGATTATAACTCACTAATAATTACCAAGTTACTCTAGTTGTATTTTACGATATATGTTTAATACTTTACTTATTTCAAATTTAATCAAAATGTATATTCAAATGTGCGTCCATTTTTTAATAATAACCAGAAATTAACATAAATAAAAAATTTTTATAATAGATAGATAATATAAATAAAAAATTCGTTAACGCAATATATAGTATAATATAAATAATTAATTAATATAAATAAAAAATTTTTATAATAGACAATATAAATGAAAAATATGTTGACTACAAATCCTACATTATTTTTTCATGAATAAATTGCTGAAGTGAATATTAGTTCTATACACGAAACAACTTTTGGTTTGTCAATCGTTTCAAGTTTGGGTTTGGTTAAGTCAATTTTAACTGGTAAGAATTTTTTCCAACATATTTATTATTTTACCTGCGCCTTGTAAATCAAATTTAAACATTTTACTAAAAATAAAGATTTACAAAGTTCTGCATTATTTTTTTTTTTTTTTTGAGAGATTTAAGAGGAGTTCATAAATAACTGAAATTAATTTTTAATGCGTTTTCCTATTTTTAAAAATAAAAAATAAATAAATAATAAAAGCAACAAATTTTATTAATATTTTAAATCCAATAAATATTTACCATTATTTTCACAAGAATTAATATTTAATTCTTCAATATTTCTCTTAATTCCAAGTGAGTTGAGTCCACTACTAATATAAAATTGTATTTGTTGAAGACTTCGTTATTTGATTAAATTATAAATGACAAATATTTTAATTTTATAATACCTTTCAATATCTATGTCTAATTTTAATTCTTCTGAAATGTAATCTATAAAAAAAAAATTAATTTTTCTATCCAAAGATTACTTTTATTAAATGGCATAATACATACCATCATTTGATGTAAAATTTATTGATGAACATTTAGAAAATATAGATGAACACTTGGAAATGTAAGATTTTAATGATCTACTTGTATAAATAGCTTTTGAATGAGGCTTTTCACTGAACTCAGGACCAAGCTTCTTTGAATCTATTAACTCTTTCCTTATTAAATCAGCCTGAACCAATTGATCAGCATGATTGTTTTGACGATACCATGTATGACTAATATCATCAATTTCATCTATAGAAGGTCTTTTTTTGGGATCAGGATCCCAACAACTTTTCATTAAATTAGCATAGCATTCCGGTGTATCTTTTGTAATTTCAGGTCGTACACCATCAATAATTTTAAAGATAAGACTATGATCATGTTCAAAATTAGCAAAAGGCTTACAACCTGTTGTCAGTTCCCACATAATCATACCCAGACTATAAATATCAGATTCTTTAGAAAATCCAGACCCTTTAAATATTTCTGGTGCAATATAAGGTATCACTCCATATATTTCATTATCAGATTGGTTATCATTTGCAGGTCGTGATAATCCTAGATCTCCGATTTTACAATAGTTATCCGAACTTACCAACACATTTCCACTGTGGAAATCTCGATGTATGAAATTTTCATCATGAATACCCTGAAGCCTAAATAATAATTAATAAAATTGTATTATAATTTAATCATTTATCAATATATTTAAAATATAAATACCCCATTACAATATAATTATGGATAAATAATTTACGATGCCAATTAATTTCCGTAAAGTTTTTTCGTAAATACTTATGTAAATCTCCTTTTTGAGCATAATCCATAACTAATATATAAATATCTAATTGAGGATCTTTTGTAAAACCATAAGTTTTAATCAAATAACCATCATAACAATGATAATTCGACTTTAACTGTAAATTTAAAGATTAAATTTAAAATTTTCATACAACAAATACGAATTTTTTAATCTAAAATATTTACCTCATTTATAAAATACTTGCTAAAGTCCTGAGAATTTTTAAATCTTTTTAAAATAGCAATTTTATTACTATTTTTTGGACCATCTAACCAAGTTGCTTGATACACAATACTAAATCCTCCTTCCGCTAATTCTTTTACATTTGTAAATTGAGAATATGGTATATAATGCATAAAAAAATATGCTTCAATACCATCATATAAAGAATCAGTTATAACTGACGAGAACCATTTATCAATATTTTTTACTTTACCAATAAATTTAGTTATTGCTGATTGATAGTATGATCTTGTACTAAAAAGAAAATCATCTAAAACGCTATTCCCACTAATAATCTTTCTAATATCAATAGTAATAGTTGATATTCTCTTGCACTTTTTACATTGCGATTGATTTGTATATCCAAAAATCATATTTGTTGTTAAACAGTATCTACACCCAATAGAAAATATATAACAAATCATACAATACTTTTGACAGTTTGATGTAAATACTAATTTTCCATCACAATAATGACACTGAGATGTATCATCCCACCATGGTAAATAAATAATTGAAATAAATTTTTTAGTAAAGGTTGATTCGATACATCCGGAAGATATTAGATAACAACTTGAACACAATATTATCTCATTTGTATTTCTATCGACTGTTTCTTTATATAATAATTTTTCACATAGCTTACAATATTTGTCGCTTTCAATTAAATTTTTGTATAGAACACTACTCATATCCAAATAAAAATAATACCCAGCTATTTGTTTAAAACATAATATTGTCAAACAATTTTTACAGCATTCTTGGATATTTTGTGGTACTTTTGTTCTACTTACTTCATGTTTATTACATTCCAATTCCTTTGTGTTTAAATATACGTCTAAGTACATATTATTATCAGTTATATTGGTTAAATAACTAGATAAACATTTTTTGCAATAACTTTGATGATGATAAATAGTCGTTTCATACTCTTCTCCACAATGAAAACAATTTTTATCTTCCCAATTAAATGAAGCAAAAAAAATCGGTACGGGACTAGATTTTAATTTTGGTGTTGGATCAAAAGAATTTTCATCATTTAATTTTACAAGTTCCATTTTATAATATTACAAGTATAAACAAGTATAGAAAACTTGACATATTTATAGTTTTTCAAATTCTTATATATAATTAATCTTATGGAATTTTCTGTCGGTGAATTCGCTATGGTACTACGGAAAATTCGGTTTTATTTAGAGGTACAGAAGTACTTCGTCGAATGAAGTTGATCTGTATGACTAACCTTATTTGTTTTAACATGTTGGCAGATTTTGCTAATTTTGAATGGGGGACGATCTAGTGTAAATGTGATAATCTTTTATTATTTCATTTACTGTGTTTTTGTTTGTTTATTTTATTTTTCTTTTATTGCAAAACTTTCATATAAAATTAATAAAGATAAAGGCGCCATGCCATGTTTGATCTAAATTTGAAGATTTTCATAATATCTGTTAAAAACTGTTTTGTAATACCAAATAAAAACATCTGATACAGAATCATAAGTTGAGTAAAAATCTACATTTGCGAAAATTACTCGCCGTAAAATAAATGCAAAAAAAGCCATTTCGTTAACAAGAACCCATTTCTCACTTGCATAGTAATTATAATGTTTATTATTAGAAAGTATGATTTAATAAAACAAAAAATAAAATAAAATTTATATAGTCACAATAACTATGAATATTTACAAAAATATTTTAATGCTCAATGAATATATCCCTATAAGAAATCTGTATATGGAATGGATACATTTTGTATACATTTTATGTACGTTTCTATAGATTCCGTATACAAATTCCGTATATTTAATAAGAAATTCATTTTTGAACATTTTTTTAAAAAACTAACGTATACGAAATGTATACGGAAAAAATTAATAATGCGGAATGTATACGGAATTTTTAAACTTAATATTTTAGAAAATAATTTTACAATCATCCCGTATCATAACACGTGATCACGTGATTGTTTATTGTTTTGTTATGATACGTTTTTTTGTTTTTTATATAAACCCTTAACAATTACTTTGATCTTCCTTTTTATCTTTCCTTTCTTTTGTCTTTTGTTATTTTGTTTTTTTTTTTATTTTAAAAAATTTTTCTTTCTTTTTTCTTCGTCACCTCCCTTTACAAAGAGATTTTTTTTTCGTCACTCTCCTTTAAAAAAAATTTTTTTTTTCATCACTCCTTTAAAAAATTTTTTTTCATCACTCTCCTTTTAAAAAAAAATTTTTTTCGTCACTCCTTTAAAAAAATTTTTTTCATCACTCTCCTTTTAAAAAAAAATTTTTTTCGTCACTCCTTTAAAAAAATTTTTTTTTGACTTTATTCTTTTATTCCCCACTCACCGCCCTTTCCTTTTTTTTTAAAAAAAAAATTTTCTTTCTATTCTTTATAAAAAATTTTTTATTTTTCTAACTTTGACATCCTCCCTTTTTTTTTAAAAAAAATTTTTTTAACTTTCCTAACTTCGTCACCCCTCTTTTTAAAGAAAAATATTTTTTGATTTGTTCTTTTATTCCCCACTCACTACCCTTTCTTTTTTATTTATATTATCTCTTTTTTTTATAGGCCAACAGATTTTTTTTGAAAGTTTCTTTTTTCTTTTTTTTGTAAATTAGTTTGGGAGTCCTTTTCTTTTTGTAGGATGGTACAGGATTTTTTCTTTTTTAGGTCAGTTCAAATTTTCTTTTTTCTTTGTAAGTTTGGTTCAGATTCTGGATTTTTTTCTTGTAAGTTGTTTTGGTTTCTTTTCATCAGACGTTTTATGATTCTTTTCTTTTATGTAGGTCAGACATTTTGGAGTTCTTTTTCTTTTTTGTAGGAATACTGACCCTTGGTGACTTGGACGATTGCAGATACTATATGAGGGTGTTTTGGTTTCCGGTTAAGTTAAACATTCTCATGTTTCTTTTTTCTTTTTAGGTTTTTTGACTCTGAATGA